AGCTTGAAGACTACAGGCAGTCCTCGACTTACAGCCGTTTATTTAGTGACCGTTCGAAGTTACAACCACACTGAAAAAAGTGATCTGTGTCCATTTTTCACACTGGTGCAGCATCCAGGCAGATGCCATACGCTTCTGTGAGGTCATTTATGGTTTTCCCCCCCCTTAATTTTATTAAGAATCTATTAAGAATGATTCACGTAAAGAACGAAAGTCAACACAAACCTCAAAAAAAAAATACAAACAGAAAAACACAAAAAAGGGAGGGGTGTTTGAAAGGAAAAAAATGGGGGAAGGGGAAAAGTAAAAGAAAAAAAGTAACTTCTTTCATCCCAGCAGATTAAAAACAATTTTAACAGTTTATCACCATATCTCAATAAAATATAATCTCTCTTCTGTCCATAGCTCATCTCTTAGATAAAGAGAACAAAATCAAAATAGTGCATCAATCCATCTTTGTCAGCAAATGTCCAGTAAGGGCAACCAGATAATAATAATAATAATAATAATAATAATAATAATAATAATAATAATAATAATAATAACAACAACAACAACAACAACAACAACAACAACAATAATAATAATAATAATAATAATAATAATAATAATAACAACAACAACAACAATAACAACAACAACAACAACAACAACAATAATAATAATAATAATAATAATAATAATAATAATAATAATAATAATAATGATAATAAAATTGGAAGAGACCTTGGAGGTCATCTAGTCCAACCCCCTGCTCAGGCAGGAAACCCCATACCACTTCAGACAAATGGCTGTCCAGTCTCTTTTTTTTAAAAAAATCTTCCAGTGTTGGAGCATTCACAACTTCTGGAGGCAAGGAGTTCCACTGGTTAATTGTTCTCACTGTCAGGAAGTTTCTCCTTAGTTCTAGGTTGCTTCTCTCCTTGATTAGTTTCTACCCATTGCTTCTTGTCCTGCCTTCAGATGCTTTGGAGAATAGCTTGACTTCCCCTCTTCTTTGGGGCAGCCCCTGAGACAGGGCTGGAAGGGACCACAAAGATCTTCTAGTCCATGGCTTTTCAACCTTTTCACCCATTGTACCACTTTTAGGATATGGCAACATCCGAGTACCACCAGTCGCCTAGCAAGGTGTCAAAAACCTGATGACCCCCCCAAAAAAGGAAAAAGGTGATGAAGTACAGGTAGTCCTCGACTTATAACAGTTCGCTTAGTGACTGTTCGAAGTTACAATGGCACTGAAAAAGCACCCCCCAAGCCACAGCCGAGCAAGACACCTGCCTGCCCACCCGGTGGCGCTCTTCCTCCTGTCCGAGGTTTTCATTGCTGTGAGGCATTTCTGTTGAGGATGGGCAACGGGGGTGGGGTGGGGGGGTGTTTGGTTTTTATTCCCCCCCCCCATCTGCTGGGTGGTTGCAACAGGTTTTGGTCACTTCACATGACCCTGGGACACTGTGACCGTCATAAATATGAATCAGTTGCCAAGCATCTGAATGTACATCACAAGACCCTGGAGATGCTGCAACATTCCAGCTGATCGGTGCTTCTTCAGGGCTCAGCAGAAGCACCAGGATCAGTGCCAACCTCCAGCTGGAGCCTATTGCGGATCCTGGCGCTTCCGCTGAGCCCTGACAGCCCTGCAGCTCCAGCCGTCTCTCGCTCAGGCTTGTGTGGTGCTGCCACAGGTTCAGCTCATTCCCCTCCCCCGCTACCACTTTTCTAGGATGGTCGCGTACCACCTGCCAGGTGCCAATGTACCACAGGTGGCACCCGTACCACTGGTTGAAAAGCCCTGCTCTAGTCCACCACCACCCCTCCTCCCCCCCTGCTCAAGGCAGGAGACCTTGTATCACCATAGTCAAATGAAGAGCCTAATGAAGAGAAGGACCAGGGGGGATATGATAGCAGTCTTCCAGTATCTCAGGGGCTGTCACAAAGAAGAGGGAGTCAAGCTATTCTCCAAAGCACCTGAAGGCAGGACAAGAAGCAACGGGTGGAAACTAATCAAGGAGAGAAGCAACCTAGAACTAAGGAGAAACTTCCTGACAGTTAGAACAATTAACCAGTGGAACAACCTGCCTCCAGAAGTGGTGAATGCTCCAACACTGGAAGGTTTTAAGAAGAGACTGGGCAGCCATTTGTCCAAAATGGTATAGGTTTCCTGCCTGAGCAGGGGGTTGGAGTACTAGGAGATCTCCAAGGTCCCTTCCAACTCTGTTATTCTGTTATTTTCTTCTTTTAACCCTGATTAAAAACTCATGATGTTTCATCTAGTAGATGTGAATGCATTTAGCATTCAGTGATTTCCCCTCCCCCCGACCCAAGTATTTTTTTTAAATCTGGGATCCGTGCCAGACTGTTAAACTATGAACTCAAAACATTCCCTATAGGGCAAGGCTGTGGAAAGAAAGGTCGTAAAATGGCTTCTAATTTTAGTGGGGACACGATAAAGAAAAAGATTCAGGAATGGAAAGAAAATTTGCAGGCCGTATTTCCTTCTCCGCCTTCTCTTTCTTCTCCCGTCTTTTTACAACTCCAGAAACCTGCAAAAACTTAAGCTCTGCGTGAGAAGGTTCAAGATAATTGTGCAACCTTGTTTATTTGGCGCAAGGGAAGCCCTCCCTGGCTGTGAGGGAAGAAAGTGAGCATTTTCTGACCCCCAAACTCAGAAATTACATTTCTGTCCTTTGGGGCAAGTAATGCAGATGTCCAAATTGCTCTGGGCACAGATATTCTGAGGCATTTTTCTTTAAATTGAAACTCATTTCATACGCTAGACCCGGGGTAGGCAACCTTGGCTCTTTTATGACTCGTGGACTTCAACTCCCAGAATTCCTGAGCCAGCCATGCTGAGGGGAAAGGGAGAGGTTTCCAAGCTGAGCCATGCTGGCTGAGGAATTCTGGGAGTTGAAGTCCACGAGTCATAAAAGAGCCAAGGGTTGCCTACCCCTGGCCTAGGCCGAGACCCTCCAGATCAGGGGTAGGCAACCTTGGCTCTTTTATGACTCGTGGACTTCAACTCCCAGAATTCCTGAGCTGAGGGGACAGGGAGAGGTTTCCAAGCTGAGCCATGCTGGCTGAGGAATTCTGGGAGTTGAAGTCCACGAGTCATAAAAGAGCCAAGGGTTGCCTACCCCTGGCCTAGGCCGAGACCCTCCAGATCAGGGGTAGGCAACCTTGGCTCTTTTATGACTCGTGGACTTCAACTCCCAGAATTCCTGAGCCAGCCATGCTGAGGGGAAAGGGAGAAGTTTCCAAGCTGAGCCATGCTGGCTCAGGAATTCTGGGAGTTGAAGTCCACGAGTCATAAAAGAGCCAAGGTTGCCTACCCCTGCGCTAGACTAAAGTTGCTCTGGAAGTTCTTTAAGGAGAACAGAATGAGAACGAAATTCTTTTAAGTGGACTGTGAAATTCTTGGGCTCATTTCTTTTGTATTTTTTTGATGCCAGGGCTAAGGAGCGTGGAGGCTAACAACTCACTGCACACACTCAACTCTGCGTAATCTGCCTGGCTTGCGACTCTCCAATAACCCTGGGGAAGAACTATAAAGAAATGTCTCCCATGGAATGTTTTCAAGAACAGTACTCCTGCCACCGCTAACAAAGAAATAATCAGGGCACAAATGGAGGAGGGGGGATAGGAGGGAGAAGGAGTAGGATTGGAGGGGAAGGAGAAGAAAAAGGATGGGAGAGAGAGGAGAAGGAGAAGAATTGGAGGGAGAGGAGAAGGAGAAGGAGAAGGATTGGAGGGAGAGGAGGAGAAGAAAAAGTATGGGAGAGAGAGGAAAAGAAGGAGAAGGATTGGAGGGAGAGGAGAAGGAGAAGGAGAAAAAGGAGAAGGAAAAGGAGAAGGAGGAGAAGGAGGAGAAGGAGGAGAAGGAAAAGGAGGAAAAGGAAAAGGAGAAGGGGAGAAGGAGAAGGAGGAGGAGGAGAAGGGGGTGAAGGAGAAGGAGAAGGATTGGAGGGAGAGGAGGAGGAGAAAAAGGATGGGAGAGAGAGGAAAGGAGAAGGATTGGAGGGAGAGGAGAAGGAGAAGGAGAAAAAGGAGAAGGAAAAGGAGAAGGAGGAGAAGGAAAGGAGAAGGAGGAGAAGGATTGGAGGGAGAGGAGAAGGAGAAGGATTGGAGGGAGAGGAGAAGGAGGAGGAGGAGGAGAAGGAGAAGAAGGAGAAGGAGAAGGAGGAGAAGGAGAAGGATTGGAGGGAGAAGAGAAGAAAAAGGATGGGAGAGAGAGGAAAAGGAAAAGGAGAAGGATTGGAGGGAGAGGAGGAGGAGAAGGGAAAGAATGTGAGAGAGAAGGAGGAGGATTGGAAGGAGACGAGGAGGAGAAGGAAAATGATGGGAGGGAGAGGAAAAGGAGAAGGATTGAAGGGAGAGGAGGAGGAGGAGAAGGAAAAGGATGCAAGAGAGGAGAAGGAGAAGTGGGAGGAGGAGGAGGAGGAGGAGGAGGAGGAGGAGGAGGAGGAGGAGGAAAAGGATGGGAGGGAGAGGAGGCGAAGGAGAAAGAGGAGAAAGATGATGATTAATGGATTTTTTTTCCTGGAGAAGGTTACCAATAATGGAAGAATAGTTCTCCATATAGTTAACTCTCCCCCAAAATGTCAACCACCTCCAGTTCCCACGGCAGAGGAACCTGTTAGCAAACTAGTTCCCAGAAGCCAATGGAGGGAAGGGAAGGCAGGGAGAAATGGAGGGAAAGACAGCACGATGAGGTCACAAAGGACCAACTGAAGAAACATCTTGGAGGTCACCTGGATGGGAGTGCAGAGCAATTGTTTGGCAGCAACCAGCAGGCCAGGCCTGCTGAGAGGGGAGGAGATCGAGAAGACCCAGATCTATATGTCAACTTCACCTATAGCTCATGAATCTATGGAAGCTCAGTCATCTAGAAGCGACAGCTCTTCTTCCGGAACATAAGAGCGTTTCTCCCCTCAGTTGCATATCTACCCTGTTGACCTTCAAGGAGGACTAAGTCCCTGCTAAGATCTCCAGGACCTTCAACCAGCATGAGATTTCCATTTTCACCCTCTTGGCACCTGGTTACTCTGCTCTCAATTCTCCAACTTGTCACCGTCAAGGCCTTCAGCCATGCCACTTGCAACCATAACGCCACCTCGCTCGATCTTGGGGTTCTACCAGCTTTCTTTCAGCCCCTGCTCCCTCCCGAAGGACTCCTGGGCCTTTGGGTGAAGGTGAAGCCCTTGAACTCCTGTCATCACGTCCAAGGGCCAGCACCATCCTCCTCCGTCTTCGTGGTCCTCTTCCACCAGCACAACTGCTCCTTCTCCAAGAAGATCCTTCACGCCCAACAAGTTGGCTCCCACGCCGCCGTTGTGCACAACGTGAGTTCCCAAATGCTGGTGAACGTGGTGAGCGCGCCGGGCACCAAGTGGCACCTTCACATCCCCGCCGTGTTCTCCGCAGAAGAGACAGCAAAGATCCTCAAACATCTGCACCGCTCGGGACGATCCATGGTCGCCATCCCGATGCGTGAACATTTTCATTTCGCCTGGAAAGTGGCTTCTGGGAATTCCCGTCTTGAGGTCAGAAATTCCTGCCGATGTCTCCTGAAGCCGGCCGGCTTTTGTTGCCAGATTGCCATGTTCTACACCTGTTGGATCGTCTGCCTTACCGTGTCGGCCACTTTTGTTGCCATGATGCTGACGGAGCACTATCTATCCCAGAGCAAGAGAAAGAGAAGTAGGAGGAGCTGCCTTCTCCAAGAACCTGAGAAGGAATCTGTCCGTGTTTCGTTGACTGGCTCCAAATACCAGGAATGTGCCATTTGCTTGGATCGGTACCTGCAGTACGATGGTGTGAAGGTGCTCTCGTGTTCCCACGCCTTTCACAGCAGATGCATTGACCTCTGGCACATCACCCAAGCCAGAAACAAAACCTGTCCTCTCTGCATGCAGAAAGTGATGGTGGTCACCCATCTGATGGCGATGAGGTTGTGGCAACAGGAGAAATCAGTGGGACGTTGCGAGCTGACCGAGAACAAGCCGTATCCAACCTGCAACCACGTTCCCTGTTGGCAGAAACACGTCGCTCCCGTCGCTGAAAATTAACCCAAGGGCAACAAAGGCCAGGAACCCAACGGGAAGATCAGAAGAAGACCTCAACAGCAATGGAAGGAGAACACTGGTTTCCTGGAGAAATGCTTCTAGAGGTCCGTTTAATTCAGAAACACCTTCGAGCTTGGACACCAGACAGAATCGTCCCCCTGTGATCATCCTGGCAATTGAAAAAAAAAAACACCAGCCATCTCAAAGGAGGGTAGAAAAGAACAAGCACACTGTGGTGTTGCTGATGGACATCTTTACAACATCGCTGCCCAAATTGCGGTAGCTCAAAAAAAAAAGAGATATAACCTTGATAATTCTGGTGATAACGCCCCTTGTGATGTGCATCAGGACAATACAGAGAAAGTGTTTATTTAGCTGGGTCCAGTCTGGTTCTTGATGATGGTGGTCAAACGTTGGTAAAGAAGCGGGAACCAGGAAATGGGGCATTGTATGGTCTGATCAAATTGAACAGAATGACAGAGTTGGAAGGGACCTTGGAGGTCTTTTAGTCCAGCCCCCTGCTCAAGCAGTAAACCCTATACCAGGGGCAGACAACCTCGTCTCTTTTATGACTCATGGACTTCAACTCCCAGAATTCCTGAGTCAGCATAGCTGACTGGGAGTTGAAGTCCATGAGTCATAAAAGAGACGAGGTGGTCTACCCCTGCCCTATCTCATTTTAGACAAATGGTGTCCAATCTCTTGACCTCCAGAGTCAGAGCACCCACAACTTCTGGAGGCAACTCGGTCCACTGGTTAATTGTTCTCACTTTCGACAAGTTCCTCCGTAGTTCTAGTTTGTTTCTCTCCTTGATTAAATGTCTATGGAGATGCTCCGTCATCCAGGTTGTGGTTGTCCCAAAGGTGCTTTTTCAAGAGGCAACTGGACTTTCTTGTTTTTCTTGGAAGGCGTTTCACTTCTCAGCCAAGAAGCTTCTTCAGTTCTGACTGGATTGGTGGGGAAGGGAAGTGATTTATATTCCTTCCTGGTCATTTGCATTCTTTTAGAGCCATGGTGGCGAACCTATGGCATGTCTGCCAGAGGCGGCACTCAGAGCCCTCTCTCTGGGCACGCGCGCCATCGCCCCAGTCCTAGGCCTTCAGTTGGGTTTATAAAACCTTTTCACTTTAGGCTTCCACCGCCGTGTGCAAAAAAAAAAAGGTTCAATCAATCAGTCAATTCAACTTCTTGCGGGAAAAAAAAAAGATCTCGCAAAGTTGGAATTGATTGATTGAACTTTTTAGTCCCACCCAGTCTGCCATTACTACCACAGCCACGCCCACCCAATGGGCCACACCCACCCAATGGGCCACGCCCACCTGGCACCCGACGATACGTAAGTGGGTTTTGGGTTGCAGTTTGGGCACTCGGTCTCCAAAAGGTTTGCCATCACTGTTTTCGAGAGTCAATGAGGCCACTTGGAAGACCTATTTGCGCCACTCAGGTGACCCTGAGGACACAGGTAAGCTTCTAAAAGAAGGCAAATGACCAGCTGTCTGCAAGGAGTATAAATCCTTCCCTTCCCCACCATCCAGTCAGAGTTGAAGAAGCTTCTGGGAGGAGAAGCGACACATCTTCAAAGGAAAACAAAGTCCAGTTGCCTCTCAAAATGAACACCTTTGGGATTCTCCTTGGTGAGTTTCCACCCGTTGCTTCTTGTCCTGCCTTCAGGCGCTTTGGAGAATAGCTTGACTCCTTCTTCTTTGTGGGAACCCCTCAGATATTGGGAGACTGCTATCAAGGAGGAAGACAGACTCGCTTATCAACCAGGTTATTCATTTAACAGCTGAAGGGATACACTTAGCAATTGTGGCAAGAAAGGTCGTAAAATGGGGCAAAATTCACTTAACAACGGTCTTACTTAGCAACAAAATCGAGGTCTCAGTGGTGGCCAAGAACTACCTGTATAATCAGGTCCAACTTGACATACAACTGCAATCACTTAACAATAGAAATTCCAGTCCCAAATGTCCTCCCCTCCCCTCTTCTCTCCCCTCTCCCCTCCCCTCCCTTCTCTTCTTCCCTTCTCTTCTTCTCTCCCATCCCTCTGCCCCTCCTTCCCTTCCTTTCCCTTCCCTTCTCCTCTCCTCTCCTCTCCTCTCTTCTCTTCTCTTCTCTCTTCTCCTTTCCCCTCTGCCCTCCCTCTCTTCCCTTCTTCCCTTCTCTTCTCCTCTTCTCTTCCATCCCTCTACCCCTCCTTCCCTTCTTCCCTTCCCTTCTCTTCTCTTCCATCCCTCTGCCCCTTTCCCTTCCTTTCCCTTCCCTTCTCTTCTCCCCTCTCCTCTTCTCTCCTCTTCTCCTCTTCTCCTCTTCTCTTCCCTTCTCTTGTCGTCTCTCCTCTCCTCTCCTCTTCTCTTCTTTTGTCATCTCTCCTTCCTCTCCTCTCCTCTTCTCTTCTCTTGTCGTCTCTCCTCTCCCCTCTGCCCTCCCCTCCCTTCCCTTCTTCCCTTCTCCTCTTCTTTTCCATCCCCCTGCCCCTCCTTCTCTTCCTTTCTTCCCTTCCCTTCCCTTCCCTTCCCTTCTCCTCCCCACCCCTTCCCCTTCCCTTCCCTTCTCTTCTCTTCCATCCCTCTGCCCCTCCTTCCCTTCCTTTCCTTTCCTTTCCCTTCCCTTCTCTTCTCTCCTCTCCTCTCCTCTTCTCTCTTCTCTTCTTCTCTCCTCTTCTCTTCTCTTGTCGTCTCTCTTCTCCTCTCCTCTTCTTTTGTCATCTCTCCTTCCTCTCCTCTCCTCTCCCCTCTGCCCTCCCCTCCCTTCTTCCCTTCTCTTCTCCTCTTCTTTGCCATCCCCCTGTCCCTCCTTCTCTTCCTTTCCCTTCCCTTCCCTTCTCTTCCCCACCCCTTCCCCTTCCCTTCCCTTCTCTTCTCTCTCATCCCTCTGCCCTTCCCTTCCCTTCCCTTCCCTCTCCTTCTCTCCTATTTGCATTTCTCCAAATGTCAGATTGTATTTCTCTATTCAAAGCTACCTACCTAGAGCCACCTTTAGCAAATTTATGTAACATACCTATACATTAGGGAGAAAAGGGTACACAGTAGAAAAAGACACAATGATATGCATTACTGGATTTGGGGGAGTGGCTAGTTTAGGAAAAGATTCACAAACAGGTTTAGAAGCCCGCTGAGAGGATGTAAACATTTTTGAAAGGGGAAAAAAAAAACCTTCCCTTGCAGCTTTCAAATTATATGAACTGTTCCTTCGGTTGAGAGTCATATTATATTGCCTCACCTGTTGTAGTGCTTATCTCAGTGCTTAATTTTTACACCCCACAGCTTAATTTCCACTTAGTTCTGCCGTGCCCCAGAAAAAGTTTCGGTTGACGGTGGCATAGAAATAGGCTGAAGAGAAAAGGGTCCCTCACGTCACGTGGAAAAGAGTGGCTGAAGTCTTGACTCCCTCTTCTTTGTGGCAACCCCTGAGATATTGGAAGAGTGCTATCCTGTCCCCCCTCGTCCTTCTCTTCATTAAACTAGACATACCCAATTCCAGCAACCGTTCCTTATATGTTTTAGCCTCCAGTCCCCTGATCATCTTTGTTGCTCTTCTCTGCACTCTTTCTAGAGTCTCAACATCTTTTTTACATTGTGGTGACCAAAACTGGATGCAGCATTCCAAGTGTGGCCTTACCAAGGCCTTGTAAAGTGGTATTAATACTTCACCTGATCTTGATTCTATCCCTCTGTTCATGCAGCCCAGCACTGTGTTGGCCTTTTTGGCAGCTGCAGCACACGGCTGGCTCATATTTAAGTGATTGTCCACTAGGACTCCGAGATCCGTCTCACAGTTACTACTATTGAGCAAGGTACCCCCTATACTATACCTGTACATTTGGTTTTACTTGCCTAAATGTTAACCTTACTTTTTTCACCATTGAATTTCATTTTGTTAGATAGTGCCCAGTGTTCAAGTCTGTCCAGATCCTCCTGTATCCTAAGCCTGTCTTCTGGAGTGTTGGCTATTCCTGCCAGCTTGGTGTCGTCTGCAAATTTGATGAGTTCCCCATCTATCCCCTCGTCCAAATCGTTGATGAAGATGTTGAAGAGCACTGGGNTCCTCCTCCTCCTCCTTTCCACAACCCCCCTTCCTTCTAGCACTGATGATGTTGCCTAGTTGGGTCATGAAATGTCTGCAAGAAAACCACCCAGCTCAGAGAGCACCAAGGACCCCACAGTCCTTCTCCTCCTCCTCCTCTTCCTCCTCCTCCTCCTCCTCCTCTCCACAAACCCCATTCCCTCCTAGCCCTGATGATGTTGCCTAGTTGGGTCATGAAACGTCTGCAAGAAAACCACCCAGCTCAGAGAGCCCCAAGGCCCCCAGCGTTCAACCCGCTCTCGTGTTGGTATTGTGTACTCAGTTGTGTCCAGTCCTTGGCAAACTAACACACACACGCACACCGGCTTTTTCCTGATGCCGGTTGCTAAGGGAGAGGCAGGAGGGCGCCCTCAGCCATTCCTATGGCAACGGTTGCCAGGAGAGCATCAACAGAGGAGGAGAGGCCCATCCAGAAGAAACACCCTTCAACGCCTTCCTCTCCCTCTTCACTTTGAGCCTGCGAACCAATAAATTAGCCGTCTTTTAGCCTCAATTCTTGGGCAGGAGTTTTTTTTAAAAAAAATCAATGCTCTAGAGAGCCTTTTCTAAAAAAAAAAAAAAAGAAAGAAAAAATCTCCACCTGACAAGGGCTCTTTTCAAGAAACAAGGATCCGGGAGGCCTTATTATCACTTCATCAGAGGGGAGGAGTGGCTGATGGGCCCTCGACTTGAGAAAAGGCCTCAAATGGTTGGGCAGGGATGGGGGGGGGATGTTGCTGAGTCACTCAGGCGCTTCCGTGACTCAGCTTCAGAGAGGGAGGGAGGGAGGGGGGGAGGGCCTGGCTCGCTCTTGCCCGCCAGCTGCAAAAAGAGAGAAGAAAAGAGCCCGAGAGGAGAGGAAGAAGGGAAAAAAAAGGCACCCGCCACAGGAGCTTGAAGGCATGTGGACTTCAACTCCCAGAATTCCCCTGCCAGC